GCCAGTCTCCCTGGGGTCCCGGGAGAAAGTCAGGAAGCCTGAGCTGTAAGGCGCCGCTGCTTCACAAGCCTTTCCAAATACTTAACTCCCTTCTTCACCCACTTCTCCGTGGGATTCGAGCAGATGTCCCTGCCTTGCACAGTCTTAAACCTATGAGGAGAGAAGCCATCAGCGAGAAGGGCCTTCCACTCCTGTCATGGGCTGACCAACAGCCCAAGGCCCTGAGAGGGTCAGGAACCTGCCCAAGGCCACACAGCACCTGGGGAAGATCTGGGACGTCACACCTGCCCTCAGGTTTCCTTTTCTCCCAGAGCAGCCAGACTGGGACAGGGATGTGAGCGAGGAGACTCTCAGGGCACTCACTGATTGGTTGGCCGGGTGACCGGGATGGCATGATAATCAGGGGAGGGGCTGGACCCCACAGCCGGCTCCTCAGTGCCTGTTCTAAAGACCCTGGGTTTGGGCTCCTGGGGGCTGAGCAGGGGTGGGGTAGGGGGGTGGGGATTAGGCGGGAGGGGCACACTTACACGATGGCTTTGCGGGGGCAATCCGGGGACGTCCTGTACCATGACTTTAGCTTTTTGAAAGGAATGGTTCCTTTGAAGTACTGGGTGCAGCACTCTCGCCCCACGTTGGTTGCCCGGGCTGGAGAGAAAGAGTGAGTGAGTGATGAGTGAGTGAGTGTTTGTGCGCTCGTGTACCAGCACACACTCCAATCACCCTGGGCCACCCTGCTGTGCCAGGCTCTGGCTGAGCCTCTACCTACAGCAGGTCATTCAGTCACCTGGAGAGAAGAGGGACTGTCATTAGCTCATTTTACAGGCCGGAAAATGGGGGCCCTTATCTTTGCACACACACACACACACACACACACACACACACACACACACACTTATTCATCAACCAGCTTTCATAGGCATAGTGGCAAACTGAAAATATGATGTCCCCCACTGTCCTTTGGCCTCTTTTAGACGGGGTGCACCTTGCTTCAACTAGCTCTACGGCCCGTCTGGATGAACTTGCAACAAATTATTGTGG